AGACAATGAGCTTCTGCGGTTCACACCACCCAGTTGGTGCTCATGCCGGCAGGCTTTAGTGCCGCACTGAGAACTTCTCTGTGTCAAAGTGGCTTTGGGGTTTGGTCGTGGGAGCAGCAGAAGAGCTGTGACATGCTTGGTGAAAATGTCTAGACTCCCCCGAGGAGACTATTGGTTAAAAAGGGACTGTTAAGGTGCTTTTGGTGAAGTCTCATGGAAATAAGAAACGTCTTCCTGGAAATGGGAGGGCAGGTGATCCTCTTTATAAAGTGGCGAGGAGCTCAACGTAACGGTGTCCTAGTTTCTTTGTGGGAAGTAGAACTGGTGAGTGATGAATTTGTGTACTTAGCTGAGGAGATTTCTAAGCCAAGTGCTGCAGGCACATCCTGGTTTCTTCTGGTGCACAAAGTGAAATGTGGGGGGAGAGAGGTAAATGGAAGAAGAACTGTTAAGGAAAAATGACCAGGCCTTGAAGATCTGGGAAATTCTCTGCTTATCTATACTGCAAAAGCATGATCTTTCTGGACAGAGCATCAGGGGGTGTGATTGAATAACCACTTGTTAAGAAGACCAGGTGTGTGACTCATGGATTCAACCATGCATTTCTGCAAAACCCAGGAAGGGAAGTGTGGTTATCTAGAAAAAATCTGTGGAAGCTCTTCTTGTCTGGTTACTGGGATGACCTGGACTCTGTGAACTGTCCACGGGCAGAAGGGAGACAGGGTGAAGGGACGTCGGAGGGGCAGCTGTCTCTGAGCCCTGGAGAAAGGCCTGGGGCAGACTAGACTCTCCCTCACAACCCTCAGAGGAAGCATCCTGCTGAAATCTTGACTCTGAACTACCTTCCCAGACAGGGAGACGGGGCATTTCTTTTGTTGCAGCCACCCGATCATCTATGCTTCCTCACGGCAGCCTTTGAAAACTAGTGTACATGCTGCCATTGCTGGGGCATGTGTCAGAGTTCAACCCAAGTGTATAAAACCTGACACTAATCTGTACTATATGAGGATAGTTGGAAGAGTTTAGTTACTTAGGATGGAAAAGCATTAGAAAGTATATCTTTGAAGGGTTGTAGGTGACATATTCTCTCCAATTCCAAGTGAAAGAGCTAGAACCAATGTGGAGACATTATTGAGACTTGGACTTTGGTTCCATGTTAAAAAGAGCCACTGTCATCTAATGATGGGAGTGGACACGGTTCTTCCACTTCTAGTTAGAATCCACAGGGGGTAAGAGGGCAGGGTCATCTGCATTTGCTGTTGTCTCTAGTGTTTCTCACTCTTCAGGTTGTCAGTTACTTTTTCTTTTCCAAGATGGCTGTATAACCATTTTAATTAAGTTGAATATTACCTTTTTTTCTATCATGCTAGAATAATTCTTTAGCTTCATTTCTTAAAATTGAAACGGAAAAATTGGAGAAGTTGCAATTCGTGGTGATATAGTTATATATGTGACCATCTATTTACTGTTATATATTGTTGCAGAAAACAACAGATTGCTGGGAGAGTCTACAGTTTTTTGTTGATGTTCTGCTCTGCTCACTGACCCCCTTGTCTTTGGCCGAAGGAATGTAACTTGAGTATCTTTAATTGAATAGCATCTAATGGCTGTGCTCAGAGGATGTGTTGTTTTAGAAAAAAAGAGCTGGACAATGAAATAAACAAAGATATAATCAACAATAATTCAACTGTGTTGATATAAAAGTCTTAAATCTGTTCTTTTTAAACACTTCTGAATGAATTGTCTTCTCAATGGGAGCCATGCTACTTTGAGCTCAGCGTTCTGCTAGGGCTCCTGTTACACACGGAAACTGCATTCTGTGTCTTTAACAGACTTTAATTTTGTAACAGTTAATTGGAAAATGATCAGAGAAAATTTATTCTGTGTCAACTTTTAAAGTCTGAGGGATATCAAATATAAAAAGAATGTAATTATTTTCATCCAAAGTAATTTTATTATAAAGTTGTTTACTTCCAAAAACATTTTAAATAATGTTATTATACTACAAGTTTATAATTTTCTGTGGTTGTGATTAACTGGCCTTCCTTTTCAATTTAATGAAAATCCAAATGTTTTTGATTAGTCCATAATATTTCTAAGTGGATCATTATTTAATTGTTATTGACTGCATAACAACATTCAAATCCTTCAGTGGTACTTAATGTGATAAATTCTCGATTTTACAGCTTTGCCTGGATGTGAATACCAGAAATTTCATTATTTAAAATTGAGATGTGTCTGTAATTGGAAGTCTGGAATCATTCCAAGGGCCAATATCTGTACCCTGATCAATTGACTGAGAATTACTCATTTCTCTATAGAGGGACTAAGGCCTAAAGACTGCATGTGGTGGGGAGGCTTTCATTTTATTCATCGGCTCCTTCCTGGGCACTTGGCTGGACACACAACTCCGCTCACGTTCCCTCCTGCTCTCCTGGCTGTCTCAGTTCTTTGCTGAAATGTAGCTTCGTTCACTTCTCCTTAGGCGGCATCTCCTGTTTCCCTCAGTCCAGCGTCTATGGTTTCAGTACTTGGTGCAGTGACTCCTTTCTCCTTGTCCCTTTGACTCTAGAAACACATTTGTGTATTTACCTGTAAAAAATGTTCCTTTTCCCCAGAACTAAGTAGTTCAGACTTTCCAACAGTTTGATGGTCTTCTGAATTTTGTACTGTCTGTGAGACAGACAGTTGATTGTCTTTGGTATTTCAAAATCGTTTTTCTAGAGTAGACAGGGTTAACAGCATTCACATATTTTTGAGAACTTTATTTCTTAGGATGATTCTCAATTTTTCTTTAATTGGGACATTGGCCTTGGCAGCAGGTAGAATGGAAGGGTCATGAGGGGTGCCGCACGGTGTCGGGGAGCCGGCAGGGAGGGCACTTCCTTCCCTAAACCCCATTTTACATTATTCAGGGCTGTGAAATTTGCCAGGTGGGGCAGGGGGATGAAAGTTCTAAGATGCTTACTATATATTGGAAGTTTCAAAAAGTAAATATGAAAAATATATTTAATGACTTAAAATTGCCATTTTACTTTTTGCTAATAAGTCACTCAGTAGAGTGGCAAAATCCCATGTGCTCGTGTCCTAGTTTTAAACCATCTGATTGTTGGAGAAAAGTCCCAGGTAAACAGCAGGTGGCATCAGTCAGATTTTCTCCCATGATATTGGTAACAATCTGTCTTCTCAAATAGGGCAGTTAAACATGTCTAGATATTAAAAAATACACTAAGGTCTAGTTGGACAAAATTGCAACATTGAAACTGAATTAAAGAGAACTCAGTTGAGAATCAGGAAACCTGGGTTTTAGTTTTAGCTGAAACATCAACTGCCAGTATGACTTGAGGCAAGTCCCTTACCTTCTCTAGCCCTGTTTCTTTGTCTCTGGAATGAGAAACTGAGTGAGGTGATTATTCTCACTCTTATATATGTATTAGGATTCAGTACAAGTCTAAAATTCCATGACTGCATTTCTGTTTATGATGTAGTCACTCAAGCATTGATGTGTTTTCCAAGATGGCACCTGCAAACCAGTCATCTACCCCACCTCTGAGATGCCTGGACCCTTCCCAGGGCCCAGGTGGGATCTGTTTGCTCTTACATACTCTGGTGTGAGTGAGGGTCTACACTTATTTAGACCTTTAAATATTTAGCAGGCTTTTGGCCAGAGTATCTGACATATATGAATGATTTTATAAGGGTGGAATATCTCACACCTTGTGGAAACAATAAATGTCTCCCTTTTCACAGAGGTCCTGCTGTGAATCCTTCCTGTTCTGTCACTCTTGCTGACTAGCCCTAGTTCTGCTTTGTCATATTGGTCTGAGATCAGGTCATATTTCTCATATTGGCCCTGGTGACAGTCATTGGCAGGACACACTTTTTACAAGTTCAAGCACCATGATTTTCTTTTACGTCTAGTGTCTTTTAAAGCACAGAAGCTGCATTCCAGTGTATCTCTAAAGGTCTGGCACGGGATCTGCTGTCCTGCCTGTGTCTCACCTGCATCCCTGGGCCAGCTCGCAGACTCACCAGTCCATAGAGGCACATGGAAACTCAGTGTCTTGTGTGCTGACTGACACGGGAACCCATGCATTGTGCCAGAGTGTGGTGTTTGAACTTCAGTTGGGGGTATCGTTTGTGCTGGCCGTGCCCCCCATTTCTGTCTGAGGAGCTGTGGCTGTTAGCAGCAGCTTCACCTCTAGCACGGAGGGGCGGGGTGGGCAGCCCCAGGGATGATGATCTCCAATAGAAGGACGAGAATGACAAGAACTGTGCTTGCTGGAATAAAGACTGGGCTTTCAATTCCTCAGGGGAATGGACCAAATCCAATGCTTTCCTGTTCAGTGACATTTTTAAATATTAAATCTGTTTTGCATCATCTGGAGAAGGGAGAAAATTAAAAAAAAAATACTTCAGCAAATCAGCTCTTTTAGCTCAGAAATGGAGTTTGGAAGGCTGTTTTAGCTAGGCTTTTTGACAATTCCTTACTTAATCAGTTTTTACAGTGATGAAGACAGGAACCTCACAAATTCTGTGAACATCTGAGCCATGAAGGCTGCTGTGGAAGGGAAAGAACAGTGGAGTTGTTTAAATAACCCTGGACCAATCGCGTCTGGTGGGCGGAGTTGCTGGGTGTGTGTTACAGAGGAGATAATTCTGAATGAAGACTCCAGACATTGCACATGCTGGATGGGTTCTTGTTCTGCTCTTTGTGCAAACAGAGGACAAGTGACTGTGTGACTAGATTTTGCCTCCTATCCATTAGTGAATGCAGCTTGTTGGGTAAGATTTAAAAAAATGCATGTGAGGGATTTATCAGAATCCCTTATGAATATTTCATGAGTTGATATATTCCGCTGAATGGATTCAGTGAGTGTCAGCGTGTCGCTTGCAGACAAACCTCTTCCACAAGGAGGCTGCTGACACTGGAGGCGCTTTGGCGTGTTTTCAGAGGCGAAGCCAGCCTGGTGAAGCTTCGGGTGGCAGCCTGACTTGCCATTCTCCGGGTGGCTGCCTTTGCTCCAGGCAGCACCCACAGGAGCCACAGCTGCCCAAATTACCCTGGAAAGAGTTTGCAGACGCACCAGCCTTCTAACCTGCGGCCGGATCTCTGGCATGCTTGGGGCTTTTGTTTTGTGTGGTGAGAGCTAGCACTCCTCACAAGACATGACAGCAAAAGATTCTTCAAAGGAGCTCACTGCTTCTGCCTCTGAGGTCTGCATAAAGACTTTCAAGGAGCAAATGCACTTAGAACTCGAGCTTCCGAGGCTCCCGGGAAACAGACAGACATCTCCCAAAATCTCTCCACGCAGTTCTCCACGGAACTCACCTTGCTTCTTCAGAAAGTTGCTGGTGAATAAAAGCATCCGTCAGCGTCGTCGCTTCACTGTGGCTCACACCTGGTAAGGCGGGTTTGGGGCACCTGCTGGGCTCTGCAGGTTCTCGCCTGGACAGCGGTGACCAGAGCACAGGAAGGGGACATTCTAGTTTTGTTCCTGAGACATTGCATAGGTCTGCAGGGATGGGGACCAGGTCAGCTGAAGAGCACACCAGGGTACTGTGTGCTAAATTGTCACTGTGCTGTGAATGTTTCCAGCAAATACGCCTCTGACTGCAGAGAGCCTTTAAAATTACTGCTCAAAAAAGAAAATACATAGTTAATTCTGGGTAAATAACAAAGTAGTTCTAAAAGTCAGTTAGTTTTTTGTTTAGTCTCAGTTGAGGTGATGGTGACTTTTTTGTTTTGTGGTTGATGATTTTTAAAAATATTTTTGGGACAAATATAAGTGTATTAATGTTAATTCTAATTTATTTCTTAAGACAAGTAAAACTTAACTGTCCACCATGTTCGTAAGTTGTAAACCAGCGAGTTTTTCTTTTATTGACATCTGTGTTCACACTACAAAAAAAAAGGAAAACTAACTTCCCTCTTCTGAAATGGAATGGTTAATGGCTTTTATTTTATGATTCCAAATTGCTGTTATCTTTAAGAGCCTCTTACTTCAAAAATGAAAACTTAAACTTACAGATATTTTGGGAATGCCAAGTAAATATATTCAAGAACCTTTGGTAGAAATTGCTCTGAGCCTGCCCCCTTTAATGTCTATGCTTATAGAAAGGTAAGAACACTCGGGCAGCCTCCTTAAGCCAGTACGATAATGAAATGTAAGGGCAAACACCATAAAATTAAATCACCTTTGCTTGTAAAGCTAGACTACTTCAGATTTCTTTGAAGACTGTGTTTCCATTAGATTAAGATACCTTTCATAATTGGGTACTAACCCTCAGTTTTATTTACAAGGGATCATAGCAATAAAGGGAGTTTGTACCTCTGCCGGCAATTATAACTCTGTGATTTTGTGTCTACGTGCTAAATTGCCAGCTGACATTAAAAACTGAGGCTATCTGATTATTGAAAATTAATATTCACTAGATTTATTTTCTACTCATCTGAAATGTTTGTGCAACATTCTGCATATTGTGTTGGCAAATTGAGGTTACCTCTGGAAAGACAAGCTTGCTACGATGGGTACCACATAGTCACCCAATACGTACTTTGCTTGGCTAATTATGGTGGGATTTCTTGTTTCCTGGCAGTGGACTGCTGTTCACATAATTGTTTTACTGGAGAATATTATTATTGTTCTTGATGTACATCTTATTTTTTAATTCTAACCTCTTACTTATAGAACACATGGCATTAGTTTTTCAGAATTACAGATGGTGGTAACATCAGTAGAAAGATAAGGTTTATATAGAGAGATGCACTGATTTGAAAAGTTCTCTTGTGCTTTATCCCACCCTGCATGCGTGTATCTTTATATAGTTTGATAAGTCACATAACTGAATAGAGGAAGATATATAGACATATTGTTAATTAGTCCCACAAGAAGAACATATGTAGAATACTTACAATTAATTAATAGATGCATATGTCTTACTCCTTGAGTTATTAGTAAACCATCATTTTGACCTAAAGGATATTTAATTTTACACAGGTAATTTTTGGATATGATTAGTCTGCTTAGAACCTTGGTATATTTTTCTTCATGTTGAGTTTTGCTTCCTTAATATAATAATGTGACCTTTCTTTTTCTTAGAATAGAATTGCTATGTGCTAGGAACATAGAGCTATAAATACTGGGTTTTTTTTTTCTTTTCAAAAGAACGCGAATTTTAAAATGACTAAAAAGCCAGTTTTACTCATGTGTTATACAATTTTCCTTGAAGCTAGTTGCAAGAAGAACAATTACATGATATGTGAGGTTACTTAAGCTGGTAAAATGATCTTCTTTTAGGTGAGTTAAAACAAAATTCTCCATAATTTCACTGACTTTGGAATAGTGTTCCACAATATAGGTTTAAAAAGTGCATCAGTCATTAAACTTATGAAATAACGTTAGGTAGGACTATGATTCATTTTTGCCTTTTTGCTTCCAGCCTCCACACCCCCCTCCTTCTGTTTCTTGGTAAAGCTGCATCACAGTTGGTTTTTAGCTCATGACGGGTCTCTATTTATGTATTTATATTGATTTCGATAGCTTTATCTCAGTATATGCTTAACAGTTTTCAAATTTATTTTCATGAAACATGTCATGAAAATCCCTTTATATCTTATGCATTTTAGTGACTTTTCTCAAATCTTAAAAATTAGGAACTTTTAAAATATCAGATGAAATAGTTACATGATGAAATAAGAGAACAGGTATTTTACTCTTGCCTCTTTGTTATTATAAAATGTAACCGGCCTTTCACAATTAACAACTGGCATTTTCAAACCATGCATTTAAGTTAGAAATTCCAGGATATGTCCTTAGAAGACTCTAAAAACATGTCATTACTTTACAGTAGACAGGAGGCTTTGTTTAAGAAGACTGGATTGTTTTGATTCTAGCATCGAAACCAAAGTAATTTTCACGGGGAAGCTGAACGATGCAGATGTGTGTGCAGTGCGTGGCTAAGCCCCCAGACAGGGTTTTAAGATCCTTCGTCATTTGTAGGTTTCCTATTTTAGTTATATGAACAAGGGGTTCTGGATTTGGAAACCCAAGTTATGAAGTATGGGCTAACGGCAGAAGATTTAAGAAATACATGTGAAATTCTGGGATTATTTCAGAAATATCTGCAGAAAGTAGACTCTCCATGAGTTGTCACTAAGTCAGTGTATTTACACCGTCTCAGACCTGGGAGGAATCTCTGTGATGGTCTCCTTGCTCCCTTGGGCAAGACCACAATTACTCTGTCTTTGACATGCGGGAATCTGTCTGCTTTTAAGTCTAGAGAAAATAATTCTATGACCTCACTTAGCTCATGATGTCACTACTCACAGTCCAAGTATTGGAAATTCTTCTTCATGATTAACCCACATAGTTTATGTATAATATATGATCCTTTCCTCCTCAGTGGATAGCCAGAAAAGGCTTACAAGAACCCCCACAAATCTGCAGATTATTAGTAACTGGTCTTGGGGTTTACTTTTTTATTCACTTAACATATATAATTAGGTACTTCTGTGAGCAAGAAAAGAACAAACTCTGATTCAATCCAAACGTATTCTAATGCCCATGCATTATTTCACAGATGCCATATACAGAGATGTTATCTGTGGGTCACAGTTTGAAGTTGCATTGGGAACCCTGATACTGGCCAGCTGCGCCCAGGCAGCTGCCCATGTCCGTTTTCCTTGTCTCTTAGCGTGTGTGTATGTTCTTTGCACACTTTCCTCGTTTACATTTCACCTGTAGCATCACCGCACTTCAAGTTCATGTTCCTGTCAGGGTTACGCCTTGCAGATGTAAAAGTATTCTGTATTGCTTTAGGTTCCTCTAAGTCAGCGGTTCTCAACCCACAGGAACTGTATTAAAGGACTGAGGTGTTAGGAAGGTTGAGAACCACTGCTTTAAGTATTTCCGCTCTGTTAATCATTGTTTTGACTCTGAAACCACCATCACAAATTTCCAAATTCTTCTTTGAATTCTGAAATCTAAAAGTGGATACTATACCCGTTGTTGGTGATGTAAGAAATTATATTCAGAACCCATCTCACACGCCGCCAAGTGCAGCTGAGAGTTCAGGTGGACAGGGTCAACGGCAGGCTGAACAGAAATCAGAGCAGGTCCTCAGGTCAGCATGCACCCCTAACCCCAAGTCACTGGGGACAGTGTCCAGAACATGCCCCCAACCCCGGATCACTGGGGACAGTGTCCAGCATATGCCCCTAACCCCAGATCATTGGGGACAGCGTCCAGCACACACCCCTAACCCTGAGTCACTGGGGTCAGCGTCCAGCATGTGCCTCTAACTCCAGATCACTGGGGACAGTGTCCAGCACACACCCCTAACTACGAGTCTCTGGGGACAGTGTCCAGCATATGCCCCTAACCCCGGATCACTGGGGTCAGCGTCCAGCACACACCCCTAACCCCAAGTCTCTGGGGACAGTGTCCAGCATGTGCCTCTAACCTCAGATCACTAGGGACAGCGTCCAGCATGCGCCCCTAATCCCAGATCACTGGGGACAGCATCCAGCATGTGCCCCTAACCCTGAGTCACTGGGGACAGTGTCCAGCATGCGCCCCTAACCCTGAGTCACTGGGGATAGCATCCAGCATGTGCTTCTAACCCCAGATCACTGGGGACAGCATCCAGGATGCACCTCTAACCCCAAGTCACTGGGGACAGTGTCCAGCACGTGCCCCTAATCCCTGATCACTGGGGGCAGTGTCCCTCATTTATTCAGCACTTGTGCTTGACATTGTTCTAAATGTTATTTTCTCACTTAATTCCATCACAAGCTCAAGGTTATATGTGTTATATATTATTATATCAATTTTATAGGAAAAGGGATGAAGGTCAGAGAAGGTAAGTAATTTGCCCAAGTCACACAGCAGATAAGCAGCTGAACTGGGCTTTGTCTCTGTGCACAGGAACATTCGCGTAGTTCACAGCCCAAGAGGCAAGGTAGGAAGGCCGGGGAGTGGGGCCGCCAGGTGGGCTGCGGCCGCACGCTGGTGAATGTCATATAGTTCACTGGGGTTACAGCCCGAGAGGTGAGGTGGGAAGGCCAGGGAGTGAGGCCGCCAGGTGGGCTGCAGCCACACGCTGGTGAATGTCACATAGTTCACTGGGGTTATAGCCCGAGAGGCGAGGTGGGAAGGCCGGGGAGTGAGGCCGCCAGGTGGGCTGCAGCCACACGCTGGTGAATGTCACATAGTTCACTGGGGTTACAGCCTGAGAGGCGAGGTAGGAAGGCCGGGGAGTGAGGCCGCCAGGTGGGCTGCGGCAGCACCCTGGTGAATGTCACATAGTTCACTGGGGTTACAGCCTGAGAGGTGAGGTGGGAAGGCTGGGGAGTGAGGCCGCCAGGTGGGCTGCAGCCGCACCCTGGTGCTGCCACTGCTGT